CCATGAAAACCTTTGACAATACATCTTCTGAAATTTGTTATTATGATCCAGATCTACTTTCTGTTCTCTCTTGCAACCTCCTCAAATGGGATGAATTTAGCATCCTAGGATGCTTTCACCCCATCTAATGGATAGAACCCGATGCTAGACATCACATGGTGTTGCATGACTTCTGGCAGAAGCTCTGCTCCCAACTGGGGTGAAAGTGTCACCAGGCACTTTCCCCCCAACACGATAGGCTTCCTGTGTTGGGCTAGCTCCAACGGAGTCAGCACAGGGCCTCACTGGGAGGGTGGTGACACTTTCCCCATGTGATGGAGAAAGCATGGCTGAGAGAGAGCTGCACATGGGGTGACAGAGTTACCCCACTGCCCCTTTTTTTTTCTCCTGGTTCCTAGGTGAAGTGGGCTACTTCAGCTGGTCTTTATGATAAAACCTTGATCTTAACCAAGCAATACTATCCTTGTAACATCACTTATTCTGGAACAACAAATGACAGTTGTTTTGATACACTCATTTATTAAAATATGTATATCCTACTCTATATTCCCGCTCTACATTCCAAGGAGAAGGCATTTCATAACTGAAGTACTACAGCAAAGAAAGTCCTCTCCCACCTCTTCATTAGTCTTAAAGTTATGCTAGAATCTATATTTTCATTGCAGCTTTTACTGTACAAAGGCAGGATTTCCATTTTTAGAAACAAACAAATAAACCCACAACCTGATAGAATGAAGCAAGCTAACTGCAGTTTGATGTGCACATCATTTAGCAGATAATAATCTTCTGCTCCACAAGATGAAATTGCTAATTTTGACCCATCAACTTGAGGTTGAAGACACAGGCCACTCCCCACACCCAGTCAATTTGGCAGCCAAGCTTGGAAATAGTAGAATACACATCAAATATAAATAAAAATACAAAATTAGAGCAGTCGTTTACTCACTGAGATTGTGGTATGTCCAATGATATTTGTTGTATGTCCTGATTTTGACTGTGATCTCTGTTTTGTAACGTGTTGAAAATTAACTAGAATGCAATGGCCATGTGTTTCAGTTCTGTCAAATATTTGCACTCTTGGATTATACCTTGCTCAATTCGGATCCAGAAAAATGTTCCACTGTGGTTATTGCATTGAGACCTTCAGACCTCATGTTCTCATGACAAAGTAGATGATCATTAGAGCATAAGAAAAGATCTGAGCTAGATTAGACTAAAGTTCAATTCAAAAGTTCACCTCTTCATTCTATTCCCCCAATGTCCAATCCAATGTTTAGGGAAAGCTGACAAGCAGAACATAGATGCAACTGGACCTGCCATTCATGGTTCCAGGCAGTGATTCCCATATCAGTAAGAAGAGTGACCAGACTTCAAATTTTACTCAAAGTATAAAGGAACTAACCAAAGTTCTGAAACTCTTGTGGGATAGGATCCATTATCTTGTATATCTCCTTTAAAGTTCAGAGGGAAATTATGACAATACATTGCCTCACTGGCACAGACTTGGAAGTGCAGCTATGTAAGAAGAAGAAAAGATCCTCAAATCTAAGAAACATCGAGATGCATACTGTCTGTGAAAAACATTGAATGTGGAGGAAATGCTGGAGGAAAGTTCTATGAATATCACAGACTACTAAAAGACTAATTAATGTATCTTAGAGCAAATAAAGTCTGCAATTTCTTTGAATACAATTGCGAGCCATTTTGAAAGTTAAATTATATGTTCCATCACCTTGATAGCCATCATGGTTTAGGAGACAATAAATAAACAAACAAACAAATGGTGGAACCTCCTTCCTTGGAGGCTTTTAAACAGAGATTAGATGGCCATCTGTCAGGGGTGCTTTGATGGTGCTTTTTCTGCATGGCAGGGGGTTGGACTAGATGGCTCATGTGGTCTCTTCCAACTCTATAATGCCATGATTCAGATAAAACCCAGAAAACTCGGCTGGAATAAAAATGACTATAATTAGGTTGTCATGTGTGCAACATTCACACCTGTCTCAAACAAACAAGAGTTCTTTCTCCCACCCTGGATATTCCACAGATATATAACCCCACTTTCCTAGTTTCCAACATATCTCACAACCTCGGAGGATGCCTGCAAAACATCAGGGAGAATGCTTCTGGAACATGGCCATACAGCCCAGAAAACTCACAGTAACCCAGCAATTCTGGCCATGAATGCCTTCAGCAGTACATTAGGCTGTCATGCTTTGGACATATCATGAGATGACATGTTTCACTGAAAAAATAACAGTGCTGAATAAAGTAGAAGGCAGAAGGAGAACAATAACACTACAATACAGGTGGGTTGATTCAATCATGGGAGTCACATAGAATCATAGAATCAAAAAGTTGGAAGAGACCTCATGGGCCATCCAGTCCAACCCCCTGCCAAGAAGCAGGAATATTGCATTCAAATCACCCCTGACAAATGGCCATCCAGCCTCTGCTTAAAAGCTTCCAAAGAAGGAGCCTCCACCACACTCCGGGGCAGAGAGTTCCACTGCTGAATGGCTCTCACAGTCAGGAAGTTCTTCCTAATGTTCAGATGGAATCTCCTCTCTTGTAGTTTGAAGCCATTGTTCCGCGTCCTAGTCTCCAAGGAAGCAGAAAACAAGCTTGCTCCCTCCTCCCTGTGGCTTCCTCTCACAAATTTATACATGGCTGTCATATCCCCTCTCAGCCTTCTCTTCTTCAGGCTAAAAATTGCCCAGTTCCCTAAGCCGCTCCTCATAGGGCTTGTTCTCCAGACCCTTGATCATTTTAGTCGCCCTCCTCTGGACACATTCCAGCTTGTCAATGTCCTCGAGTTTGCAAGATCTGAGCAGGGGGTTGATGTCTGGGGGTCTTGGAGGTCTTTGATTCACAAGTTAAAATCAACATGTTGCAAATAACAACAAAGAAAACATTAATACATAAAACATTAATAGCAGTGAAAAAATTAACTATCAGAAATAAGAGGTAGAAGTAAACTTGTAGATAACATTGCAGGTTCCAAAAGCAGAAGCTGTCACTATTTACAAAGCCAAGTTTGTTTATCTTTCTTAGCTAAAGAATTAGATATAGCAATAGCTAGGGACAGCAAAGAGGAAGAAAACCACTTGCGATATCCCTTCGTTAGATAAAAAGCCTTTAAAACTCTGGAATCACTACTAGAGGAATTGCTTCCATTGTCATTAATTTTGACTGCCCTTTTCTGCTCCTTTCCCAGTTCTGTAATACACCTTTGGAAATTTATGGTGCAATTCCCATCTACACTGACATATAATAAAGTATCAAATGCATTCTGAAACTGCATTATATGGCAGTGTAGATGGGGCCTCAGGAAACGCCAAATTCCAAGGAAACACCATCCACCCTGCATCTTGTCTACTTCCCCTGATGGACACTTCATGTTCCTTCTGTATGAACTAGGAATAGAAAGAATATTCAAAGGTTTGGCAAGAGAGGAGAGAAAAGGGGGTTCTTCAAATGTCAAAAATTCCCAGAGAAGAATTCTCCTGAAGCTCCATTTTGTTTACTTTGTGAAATCCTCAAATAGACCAAAGAATTAGTCCTACACATTCTCATTGCATGGCTGCATTGAAGGATGTGGAAATCAGATAAGTAAGGGTGTCATTAGCTCTATTTTGATAGCCAACACACAATGATGTAGACAAACCTTTAATGAAACTATCCAAAGTCCAGAACCCTTTGTTGTTTATTCGTTCAGTTGCTTCTGACTCTTCATGACCTCATGGACCAGTCCACGCCAGAGCTCCCTGTTGCCGTGGCCACCCCCAGCTCCTTCAAAGTCAAGCCAGTCACTTCAAGGATATCATCCATCCATTTTGCCCTTGGCTGGCCCCTCTTCCTTTTTCCTTCCATTTTTCCCAGCATCATTGTCTTCTCCAAGCTTTCCTGTCTTCTCATTGTGAAGCCAAAGTACTTCAACTTTGACTCTAATATCCTTCCGTCCAGTAAGCAGTCGGGCTTTATTTCCTGGAGTATGGACTGATTTGATCTTCTTGCGGTCCAAGGTACTCTCAGGATTTTCCTTCAATACCACAGTTCAAAAGCATCTACCTTCCTTCATGCGGCCTTCCTTATGGTCCAACTCTCACATCCATAGGTTGCTATGGGGAATAGCATTGCTTTAACTATGCGGATCTTGGTTGCCAGTGTGATGTCTCTACTCTTCACTATTTTATCAAGATTGGTCATTGTCCCTAAAATAAGTTCTGCACCTAAGATACCCCCTCCAAAAGTCTGAACTTAAAGCTGGGGCAGATGTTCTATTGTTGACTAGACTTTGGTTCCATGGGTTTCAGAGGTGAGTCTTTCAGAGCTTTCCTGGAAATGTCAAAGACTGAACCTGAATTCGTCTGTGTAAGAAATTATATCTTCTGCCCAAAGTTCTTAAATTCCTTGATTTATAACTCCCGGACAACTCCCTCAAACTGTGACCAAGTCTTGGTTCCACCGCTGAGCTAAAGTCCTTTTCCACAACATTCTGTGATGCCCCTTGTCAAGACAGGAGAGGGAGTGACACAGGGGCATTGCCCTTTCCAAATAAGAATTCCTCCTTCCATTAATTAATTAATTGCATTTCTCTATTAATGCAACTCCCAAACAATAAAAAAAAAGATGAAATCATAACAGTAAAATTAAAACATGATTGAAAGCTCACTATATTAAAATAATAAATTGAGCCATGTAACTTCATTAAAACACACACAAGCATTAAAACTCAAATAACCAACCACCTCATAGGAAGGCCCCCTCCAGCAGTTATGCATCAGCCAGGTCTGTGCTGTCCAATTCATGGCACCACAGTTCAAGAAAGATATTGACAAGCTGGAACATGTCCAGAAGGGGGTGTCCAAAATGATCAAAGATCTGGAAGGCAATCTCTATGTGGAAATTGGTATGTTTAGCTTGGAGAAGAGAAGGTTAAGTGGGGATATGATAGCCACACTGAAATATATGAAAGGGTGTCATGAAGAAGATTGAGCAGGCTTGTTTACTGCTGCTCTGGGATCTAGAACATGGAGCAAAGGGTTTAACTGCAGGAAAAGATATTTCACCTAACCATTAGGAAGAGTGTCTTGATGATAAGAGCTATTCAACAAAGGAATGCCTCTGGGTGTGGTAGAGTTTTATTTTTGGAGGCTTTTAAACAGAGACTGGACAATGTGTTGTCAAAGGCTTTCATGGCCAGAATCACTGGGTTGCTGTGAGTTTTCCGGGCTGTATAGCCATGTTCCAGAAGCATTCTTTCCTGATGTTTCACCCACATCAATGTAAGTAGATGACTAGGAACCACATCAAGTGGGAAGTTGTTTTAGGCATGGCATTTGGAGGATGAGGATGAGGTGTGGTAGAGGATGAGGCTGAGTGAAGGAAGATAGAAACTTTTGAACTGTTTTGAACTATGGTGCTGGAGGAAAATTCTGAAAGTGCCTTGGACTGCGAAATAAAGGAAATAAAGTCCAACTGCTCATTGGAGGGAAGGATATTAGAGGCAAAGATGAAGTACTTTGGCCACACCATGAGAAGACAGGAAAGCTTAGAGAAGACAATGATGCTGGGGAAAGTGGAAGGCAAAAGGAAGAGGGGCCGACCAAGGGCAAGATGGATGGATGGCATCCTTGAAGTGACAGCTTGGCTCTGAAGGAGCTGGCGGTGGTGATGGCCGACAGGGAGATCTGGCATGTGCTGGTCCATGAGGTCACAAAGAGTCAGAAGTGACTGAATGAATAAACAACAAGAATTCAGAGGAAAGTTTACAAACAAAGAAAGCTCTTCAGCAAGGAGATGGAGAGAGAGCACCCTCTGTGGCCGGAACTGAGCACAGCATCCAAAGATGCCAAAAGGTGAGAAAAAGCCTATATATAACTCTATCTGTTGTCTGTCTTGTCATTGTATAATCGGCATTGAATGTTTGCCATATATGTGTTCTGTGATCTGCCCTGTGTCCCCTTTGGGGTGAGAAGGGTGGAATGTAAATACTGTAAATAAATAAATAAATAAATAATTTAGAGGCCAGTATATTGAGGAAAACTAGTACAGATATCATGTCAGTTTCATCTTGCCTTCCCAGCCTCCAGATATTTTTGAAAATGTTTTACTTGCAAACCAACTGCTATCACTTACTTAAACCTGTTTTTCAAAGCAATGCTTTGTTTTCATTTATTCCTATTTGGCTTTGAAAAGGAAACAGGTGAAATAATTCCAGATTTTGAAGTAAATCTGTCCTGACATAGCCATTGCATCAAAAAAAATCACATGTTCTGGTCATCCATGCCGTTCTCTTGATTAGTTGACATTTAAATGAAAAGAAAAGAGCATATGCAAAAACACTGTTTTAGGCAGTGAGGCCTTTCGATTCAGATTTAAAGGAACCTTTGCAAGCATGTGTTAGGCATTCTGTCGGAGCGCCTGTTCCAGGAGGCATTGCGTGTTCTTAAAATCTGGAAGAAAAAAAGTTTCATGAACAAACGTGCACTAACTTGACTGACAGTACAAAGGCATCAGTGCATCTCTTGAGTCCTCTTCTTCTTCTGCAAATGCCATTAACTATGATTCATCAATCAATGTTTTATATAATCTGTTAGCATTTCCATTTTGTTATCCATCAGGTCCCATTTCTTGAAGTGGGGCACCAAGCCTCTCCGTGGGCAGAAACCATCAACTGCATCTGGTTGGATTTTAAGTCAGGATTGTCAATTTTTAAAGAAAGGAAATATCTTATTTTTATGCAGAATAAACGTAAATTGAAGGTGGTCCTGAAGACTTCCTGTTACCTGCTGTGTCGGGTATTTATTTATCGTGTCAGCAGCAACCAGACATTTGTATTACATATTTAACAAAAACAAACAAACAAGATAGAACACAAAGTTTGCAAGCTTGGTAGTTGATTAAATGTCCTTTGCCCAGTATCTGGCCACTTGGAGTGCCTCTGGTGTTGCTGCAAGAAGGTCCTCCATTGTGCATGTAGCAGGGCTCAGGTTGCATTGCAGCAGGTGGTCAATGGTTTGCTCTGCTCCACACTCGCATGTCGTGGATTCCACTTTGTAGTCCCATTTCTTAAGATTGGCTCTGCATCTCGTGGTGCCAGAGCACAATCTGTTCAGCGCCTTCCACGTCGCCCAGTTTTCTATGTGCCCAGGGGGAAGTCTCTCATTTGGTATCAGCCATTGGTTGAGGTTCTGGGTTTGAGCCTGCTGTGTCGGGTGACTTGGCTACTTACTTTAGAAGGCTTCTGAGAAGGCTTTTTGGTGCCAGTTGAGAAAATCAGGGCTGTGGAATGTTACTTCAGGTCAGAACTTAGAAAGTTATATTTAAAAGTAATTCATTTCCATTATTCATTAGAGTAAACAAAAGGAGTTCATTCCAGCATTTATATTGGTTTGTTGTTGTTGCTGCTGCTGCTGTTAACTGCCTTCAAGTCAGCTTCAACTTAGGTCAACACTACATATGAGAGACATCCAAGTCATCCTGTCCTCAAGAGACCTGCTTAGGTCTTGCAGAATCATGGCTATTGCTTCTCATTCCAGTCTATCCAACTGAAATGTGGTCTTCTTTTCATACTGCCCTGTAACTTTTCAAGCTTTGCTGTCTCTTCTAGTAAGTCATCTCTTTTCATGGTATGTCCAAAGTACAATAGTCTCAGTTTAGTCATCTTGGCTCTAAAGAAAGTTAAAGTCTGATTTGTTCTAGGTTCCATCTATTTGTCTCTAGTAGTCCACAATATTCAAAGAACTCTCCTCCATATTTCAAATGACTTGAATTTTCCCATCAGTTTATTTCATTGTCCATATATAGACATGGGAAATACAATGGCATGGGCAACCCTAGCTTTAGTTTTCAGTGAAATCTCTTTAAACTTCAGGATCTTATCTGGTTCTTTCATAGCTGCCTTTTCAAGTCGTGATAATCTTCTCATTTCTTGACTGCAGTCTCCACTCTGACTAATGACTGAGCCAAAGTATGGAAAATCCTGAACTTTTTCAGTGCTTTCACAATCTCCTGTAAAGTTATGTAAATCATCTGTGGTCATTGTTTCGTTTTTTTTTAATATTCAACTGTAAACCTGTCTGTATCTTTCTGCTTTGACTTTATTTGTTGCAAGTTAGATCTAAAAAATAATGCAGTAATATTAACCATTATAAAGTGAAATTAATTCCCTACTATTCACACATATAATTGAAATCAATTGGTTAGTTAGTTAAGCATTAATTAACTTGTTGATCAGAAGGTAATGTTGGGCCAGAACATGAGATTATGGAAAATGGCATTTCAGCATTGTCTTTTCAGTGTTAGCTTCTCCCAATTTTGGTTTTTTTTTTCTCCTCTCCATCTACAAACTATTGTCAGAGAATGGTGAATGTTCGTGTGGTTTTGTTTTCTCTTTTGACTCTTGGAGATGAATTCAGAAAAAGAGCTGCCCTCTAAAGCAATTTAAATCAAGCAATTTGGCAATATGTGACCCACAGAGCAGAGGTACCCTTGTCTAATTTTCCGACCCCTGGAAATACAGGAACTGAACCTGTGGTCATCTGCATGCAAACCATATTCCTTGGTAGACAGAGAGGGAATATATTAAAAAGTTTTTGGTTTTGCTCTTTCTGATTCACTGTTTATTTGCAAATGAACTGGTTGAACAGAAGGCAATCAAGTGTGCATGTGGGCATATAGATCCCAACATAAGCGCGAAGTCAGAATTACAGTTTCTTCCATCAAGAACATCTTTCCTATAAACCCTATCCTTCTCTTAAAACCTCAAACTATCTCTCCCAGTCTCCTTGCTCGAGTCCCCAAAAGTTGGAACTTCATAAGAAAGTAATAAGCAAAAAAAAAGTGACATTTGTTCCTGACATCATAAATCCACGTGCGTGATTGGATATTTATTTATTTGCTTGCTTGTGCTGCTGGCAGCAATCATTTACGAACATATTTTGATTCCCAATTTGGTTCAGCCTTCCTTCCCACCCCATCAGAGAGAATATGCCACTATTAATAGCAGAACTGTCAAGGAAGCATCATCCAAAAACCCCTAAGAGCCCCATACGGGGAAAAAACAGATTGTCATCCCCCCTTCCTTTTCTTTTTCTTTCTCCTCACAGTTTTTAAAATTATGTATATGTTGCAGGAGGGCATCTAAAAAAAGAATCATGATTGTTTGAAGTAAAGATACATAGGCAGAAACTTCAATGGAACTTAGGGACAAGGTACACTTTCCAGGAATTTACATGTAGTGAATTGCCACCAATGACTTTTTTAAAATTGAAAAACAACTATGGAAGGCAGAAATAAGAAGATAAGAATAGAAGGGGGAGTTAATCCTGTCTGCCCCCCTTTCCAATTAATTCACCTCTTCCAAATTGTGAAGGTTTTTTTTCTCAACACACTAGTGGGATGTTCAAGTGGGAGTGGAAGTTCTTGACATATTAGTCAAAACTTCATATCCATGGATTCATTGAAAAATTCATGGCTTGAAAATATTTGTAAAACTATTCCAAAAAGGTAAACCTTGATTTTTCTCTTTTATATAAGGAGCATAATTTTCATGGTGTTCCTGAGCATCCATGGATCTTGGTATCAACAAGAGGTCCTGGAACCGAACCCTAATGATACCAGGGACTCACTGTATAGCTGCTGGGGTTACCAGCTATTGTACATTAATCATCCTTACCCCCCAAAAAAGGGAACCATCCCCTTCTCTGAACAAAGTGGCAAAAGGTGAGAGCTTAGACCAGTGGTTCTCAACCAGGGGTCCCCAGATGTTTTTGGCCTACAACTTCCAGAAATCCCAGCCAGTTTACCAGCTATTAGGATTTCTGGGAGTTGAAGGCCAAAAACATCTTGGGACCCCAGGTTGAGAACCACTGGCTTAGACCATCCGGGGAGAACCTAAAAGAAGCACTAATCCTGTCTAGTCTTTTGGTGCTCCTTTGAAAGAAAACACCAAAGATCTGCTGACTCATATGCCATTTTCTCACCCTAGTAATAAAAAAGTGACACCATGGTGGAGAAAATTAAGGAGGTTGGTACTTCTTTTAGCTTCTCCCAGGACAGACTAAGATCTTTCCTTTTGCCACTCTACTTCCGGTTCCGGTATGGCGGTCAGCAGCAGCAACGCTGAGCTGCGCTGACATAAAGAACAAATCCCAGGAAATCCTAGGGAATCCCCCATCCCTGACCACCAAACAAAGGAGGGGGTGAGACCAACATCTGCAACGGGCACATTGAGCCCAAGAGGGCTTGAAAGGAGCCAAGAAAAAGCCGAAAAGGACCCAGGCAGGCGAAGGCAGGCAGGGAGCGCCGCCATTGGGACGCCATTGGGACGCGGTTGGCCCTCCTTCAAGGAGCCTCAAGCCTCAAGAGACCTACCTGGTGAGCTGGTCGGCCACCGGGTCGGCCGTCCACCTGACTGTGCCGCCTGTGCCCGGTGCTGGGCTCTCCCGCTGCCGCCTGGGTTGTCTCCGGCTGCGGCCGGGACGCGGTTGGACGCGCCGCGGCTGCCATCTTGCCATCTTGCTGGCGCTGCGGTCTTGCAGCCGCCGGAGGAACCTGCGGCCGCGAGGGAGAGGCTGCTGGGGGAGGCTGCTGGAGGAGACCGTCGAGGAGAGAGGCGGCCTTTTTCGGCGCCGGGAGAGAGAGGCAGCCGGGAGTCCGGGATTAGCGGCCTTGCGGTTTTGGGGCAGCAGCTGGAGCCCGGGACCCGGAGAGGCAAGTAAAACGCCGAGGCCGCTGCCATCTGCGGCCCGGCGGGAGTGTTCCCCTCGGCAGCCAAGCCCCTTGGAGGTGCTGTTGTTGTACAGCCGCTGGAGTCGCCTGGAGGTGGGACTACCGTTTCCACCGCCTCCGTGGG